ATTTTTTAACCTAACCAATTATAATAAAACAATTTACTTCAGTTTGATTTTGACAAAAATTGCAAATGAAATCTAACTAAACTAATTTATGATTGTTCAATTTGCTTATCCGATCTGGGCCCAAACCCAATTTCATTTCTTTTTCATTTTTTAACTTTTTTTTAGCCAAATTGCAAAAAAAAATAAAAAATAAAAATCCATTACTTGCTAATTATTTTTTTATTTTTAAACCATTTTTTAATCAATTCAATTCTTTTTTTGTTATAACCAAACCAAATTAAATTGACCATTACAATTGAAATCGATGAAGGACCATGTTGTGCTGGGTGGCTAGCATTGGCGCAAAATCATAAAAAACGTTGGAGAAAGAGGCCTCATCTTCATTAAGGGTGTCAACCAAGATGATGTTGTACTCTCTTACTTGTTTAGGAGACATTGAAGAGTGACAAGAAGGCGGGAGATTAGTAATTTGCAAAGTTGTTTGTGATATTCAATTATATATATATATATATATAATTTGGCCTTACAGCCATGCTGGGTTAAATGACCTCATGATCATAATAAATAGCCTTTCCAGCCAAATTGGTCAAAATTGCATTCACAAAAATAATTATTAAAACAAATAAATAAAAGGCTAGCTAGGTGGCCTTGCGGCCAAAGTCATCGAAATGGCCTTGTAGCCACGAAGAAATTCAAATGGCCATATGGGGCATTAAGATGAAGGTATGCAGCCTAACAAAATTAGAAGTAATGGCACCATAGTTTAATTGGAGATGCTAACATGCCAATATTCGTGTGAGAAAAATATATATTTATATGTATATATATATATATATATTCCCTTTCTCTCAACAGAAACCATCTTTTTTTAAAGTCTATATTCATATATCATCCTTGCAAAAAATTAGACAAATCGAAAACTGTTTCAACATCTAATTATATCATACAAAATCAATGAACACAACTTGTTCTTTGATTGGTGTTGGCTATGGTTAAGTATAGGATGAAGACTTTTAAGAGATTTATGAGTTCTAGAGGTGGGAGGATGAATGGGTAGCTTGGGATTATGCTTGAAGTGAAGTTTAAGGGGAATAATGATTTCAAGGATAGGAAGATGAGGGAAACGTTTGAGGAGGTTATGGTTGGGGTGTTTGCAGCAGCTAGAAAAGAGGTGTGATGACTGAAGAAGTCGGTTGATGACTGTTGGGATGCTTGCAATAGCTAAGGAAGGAGTCGATGGTTGCTAGGATGCGTGTAGTAGCCTAGGGGAGGATCCTTTGCTTGGGTCATGGACACTAATATATAGAGGATGAGGGATTTCCTTTATTTCTTTCTAACAAGTAAAAGGAGGTGTTGGAAACATCTTGTTTCCAGCGAATAAAAGAGAGCACTAGTAAATTCTTATTTCCAGCTAGTAAAGGAAGTCGTTGGAAAAAACTTGTTTTCTAATGGTTGAAAGGAAGTGCTAGAACATGCTATTTCCAGCAGGTAAGTGGGAGTGTCGAAAATAACTTGTTTCTAGTGGGTAAAGGGAGAGCTTGAAGAATATATCATTTGCTCATCCACATAGGAGAACTAAATGAATGGGCTTGGACTTCGGTGTTCCCAAGCATCCCAAAATCTCCATTATTCAATAATTCTCGTGCGGCTTGTGGACCTTCGTACCTATCCATACCACAACCCTCTCGACAATCCCCACTTAAGCTTGTCAGGTGGTCTAGCATTAAAGGAAGTCGCTTGGTGTTGCATGTTATTTGCATGTTTATGCTTGGGCTACATTGTACTGCAGTGGATTAAGGTTGTGTTAGGCCATCTCCAACCCTTAGACTCAAACCCAAAATATCCCCCCAAACTTCTCCCAACCCAAGAAAAGGAAGGACCCAAAATTTGGGAAAACCTAAATTTGGACCCAAATATGGGTCCAAGTATTGCCTGGACCCAATATTATTCACTAGACCCCACACTGCGGTGGTAAAGCCCATGTGCTTCTGAAAATTGGTGGGACTCGTGCTGTGACATTTTCTGATGGGTTGGAGCTGTGGCCAAAGCCACGTGTTAGCACTACAACAGTGAGCCGTTGGGCTTGGGCTGTTTACTTTTTTTTTTAAAAAAAAAATCAAATAGTATTGCTGGGGCCCACACACACTGTGTTTCCAACTCAAAGAGCCATTGGGCTTCAAAGAATCTATTTTTTTAATAAAAAAAATTCTAATAGTAACTTTAAATTAACGATCTAGATTAAATCTAAGTTATTTTAACGGTAAAAAAAAAAGATCCAACGGCTGAAATTTAAATCCAACAGTCAAAATAATATTTTAAATTAAACTAGGTTAGATCCAACCCCAAAACTCACTCCAAACTCTATAAATACCCATCCATTTCTCAAATAATCTACCAAAAACATTTTATCTATTTCTCAATTTATTTGTTCTTTGTCAATCTCATCAATCTCCTTTCATTATCATACTTTTGATATCATTTCAAGCACATCATCTTCTTCATTCTCAAACTTTTCATATCATTTGAAGTTTTCAATGGATAACTGTGGCAAGACTATCTTTTCCTTCGTGTTTGATGATGATTCAGATGATGAAGAACATCATTAGAGAGTGATTGAAGCCATTGTCCACCATACTTCATAGGATAATGAAGCCACCAAACATGGTGGGTCGGTAGTCGGTCGTGTGTACAAGAACTACGATAGAATGTCCGACTACTTCGTTGAAAGGCCACATTTTAATGCTACCGACTTTCGTAGGCTGTTTCGAATACGAAAAGAGTTATTTTACCGCATCTTGAATGATGTTGTCAACCACGAGCCATACGTACGCAAAAAAAAAGATGGGCTTGGCCGACAAAGGCTATCCATTGAGCAAAAGTTAACCGCTGTCTTTCGTATGCTCGCATGGGGATGCTCAACTAACGCGACCGACGAGTACTGTAGATTGGGTGAAAGAACAACTCTTGAGTCACTCTGAAAGTTTTGTTGCGCTGTTGAAGTCGTGTATGGCCAATGGTACCTCAGGTCTCCAAATCCAGCTGACCTTTACAAGCTATTGCACAAGGCAAGCAGTCGAGGCTTCCTAGGCATGTTAGGAAGTCTTGACTACATGCACTGGGAATGGAAGAATTTCCCATCTTCTTGGGCAAGTCAGTTTACCGGTCACAAAACTGTTGTGCTAGAGGGTGTGGCCTCGTACGACACATGAATATGGCTTACCTTTTTTGGAGCCGCTGTATTCAACAATGATATCAACATTTTAGCTTGTTCTTCATTGTTCAATGATGTGGTACATGGAGTGGCTCCTCATGTTGAATGTATTGTCAATGGAAATCAATACCATTTGGGCTACTATTTGGCAGATGGGATCTACCCCCGTTGGGCTACTTTGGTGAAGACCATATCTTCTCCTGATAACACAAAGAAGAGGCTTTTTGCACAAATGCAAGAAGCGTACAGGAAGAATGTTGAAAGAGCATTTGGAATAATACAGGCTCGATGGGCTATTGTTCGGGGCCTGGACGTGTGTTGTGCAAGGATAACCTCCACTCAATCATGATGACATGTATAATTTTGCACAACATGATTGTGGAAGATGAGTATGAATATGTTGAAGAGGAATCTGATGATGAGGATATGTGTCCACAACGATCCAGGAGGACTAGAGCAAAACAATATGAGTTGGAGCCAAACATTACATATGAGTACCACCAAGATAGGCAGACTCTCTTTGATTACATAATTCGTCATAATAGAGTTCGATCTCCAGTGTATCAGAGTCTCCAAAATGATTTGATCAATCACCTTTGGAGGAGCTTTGGAGATGGTGAATGAGGTTGACAATTGTTTCAATCCTCATTTTGTGTTTCAATTATGTTGTGTGTTTACTTTTGGAATAAAATTAAATTTATGGAATTTCAATTTTTTAAGGTCAAATTGTTCAAAAAATTAAATTATGATGTTATTTAAAAAGATTAAATGAAGAAAAGTTATCTATTAAAAAAAAATTAGACTTAAACCATTCTTAAACAATTTAATAAAGTTGCGGATCTAAAATTTGAGTCCGTAAGGTTGGGAGAAAAAACAATTTGAATCCGGGCAAAACCCAAATAGTCACTATTTGGAATGGGGAAATTTGGGTTTAGCCCCTCATGGGTTGGAGAATGCCTTAGATAATGCTTGACAAATTAGTGGGTTAGGTGAGCTCAGGCATGTGAAGTTATCAAATCTTACAGGTTTGCATGTGAGATTGGTATGCATGTACCATGACATCCCCACATGCCAAATTGTAGTCTCGCTCGGCATGGTGCGAACGTCAAAACTTGCATAGGCACTTAGTAGCCGTATTTGATGGGCCTACATGGGTACACTAGCTAGGCTTCTTTTATAGTACGATAATACATTGGGCCTAAAATATTCATGAATCTTCATTGAGATTTTTTTAGCCTCAATATTAGCTCTTTTGTTTATTAACGCTATGAAGTGACAGTGAAATAGGCCAAATATTCAATTAAGCCCAAAAAATCAACCTCAGCCCTTAAATATGTCATAAATTGGAAGTTGGAACCATCCGTGTACCGTGTTAGAAAAGAAAAAAAGTTCACCACCTCACATTAAAACAAGAATTTATGTGATCAATCAGATGGCAGATAACAACTTTAAATGCCACACTATTTAGTAACAAGACATCTGTATTTGATAAGAAATCAAATATTTGACTATTTGGGATACAATTCTTAAGATGTGGGCCATGGACCCAACAACCCCCCATCAACCCCATCAACCCCATCAACAATGAGATTCAGGCCAACCATATTATGCCGACTCTTGTTGGTTATCAGCCCAAGGAAAGCAGAAGGTCAAGAAATAAATACAGAGTTTTATTGCAAAACCGGAAGAGAAAAAAAAGCCCATTTCTCACACATTGCCGTCCTTCTCATTCCCTTGTTATATATTATATGAGAAACGGCATTTAAAGCGCGCAACATTACTCTGACGCATTTTCACAAACGCGTTTCACTCACAGTGCCTGAGTTCCGGATACTTGCCCTCATAGGGCTCGCTCGTTAAATCTCTAATTTAAATTCTACGCCAAATAAGAATTTTCATTCCTTTTTGAGCACTTGGGAATTTGAAATTTTGAAATCTGTGTGTGTTTGTGAAATTCGTTCTATCCTCTTTGTGGGTTTTGGGCCATGCCGATTGTTGCTGCAGCTGTCGTCGTCCCACTGGGCCTGCTCTTCTTCATCTCAGGCCTCGTTGTCAATCTCATTCAAGTAACCACCTCCTTCTCGCTTTTCTCTTAATGGTTCTGGATTTTATTTTCGTAATTGCGTAGATTTGGTTTTTGGTTCACTCATTTTTCAGTTTCTTTTTGTTATTGATTTCTTCATTTTTGGGCTGTATTTTCTGAGGGTTTTGCTTCTTTCCTTTCCGGGGTTTCAGTATAAGTTGCTTATAGTGATTGATTTTAGCCTTATGGTTTTGTTCTTTCTCAAGTGGGTTCTTTGGGCAGCGTACGTCTCTCAGCGTGCATGTGAATCTCGGCTTTGTTTCGACTTTCTAATCTGGCCTGTATAATTCCAATGATTCGGAGAACAATTGGGAATGAAACGAAACTGTAGAACTTCGTTTTTGAATCTCTCATGCTGTTGAGCCCATTGAGCTTAATTCTATTATTCAAAACTGAGTTAAAATTTGAGATTGAGTTCACTTTTGTTCTTTTTTTCTGTTCAATTATAATATCGATTGTATCATTTTCTTTTCTTTTGAGGTTTGAATCTGTGTAGCATACTTGGTCAATTGTTTCAGGCGATTTGCTTCATTCTTATTCGGCCTGTGTCTAAGAATTTATACAGAAGGATAAACAGAGTGGTGGCAGAATTATTGTGGCTGGAGCTGGTGTGGCTCATTGATTGGTGGGCAGGTGTTAAGGTATTAGCTAGCCCCCCATATCGTGTGATTTTAGTGGTTTTGATTGATTTGACTTCCTTAAAGTGCACATAAGTTAATATATGTTGAGCATTTTTTAAGTGCTTTCCCACTTATTCTGCTAGCTTGTAACTATGTATTTTTCAAAAAAATCTTTGCCCATACAAATTGTACGAACCAATTATTAAGGTTATTGCTGGCTTTTGAAAGATTCAAAGCAGCAATTGCTACCATAAGAAAGACTAGAAGATGTAATGCTGAAGGAGGAAATCAAAGCATGTGGATCAAATATTCTTCTCATAAGCTTGTATAAATCCCTAAAATGCTATCAATTCCTAAACTAGGAAGGTTTTGGTTGCATATTTTTCTTTTGGGGGTTGGAGAGAGGCGATTGGTTACAAATTTACTTGTGTTTTATCAGACCAAGGGCAACAGTGTACTTTCTCTTTTATCCGTTTCAAGGTGGTGAGAGAGAGTAACTTATCAAGAAAAAAAGAATAGTGAGAGATTAAGATATCCTAATGTGTCTAGTGGGGTATCACACTAATATGGACAGTGCATTACTGGGTCGTTATATTTCCAGTACAGTTGAAAACCTTTAGTATAGGAACATGGAAAGGCGAATAGCATACACATCCTATTTATTTACCTATTTATATAGAACCTCTAGAAAAGTTATATATATGAAGACCCACTTAACTTGAAGTTGAACCATAATTTATTTTTTTCCATGTCCACTTAACTGAATCTTGATTTAGTTAACCCCCTTTGTTTTTTTTTTCTTCTTTCTGCAGATTCAAGTATACACAGACCATGAAACCTTTAATTTAATGGGTAAGGCTTAAACTTTTTCTCTTGTTTGATATTTTTGTGCCTAGGACTAGGTATCTATTGTCCTTTTCAAAATTATGCAGGTGAGTTCATTTATCTGCTCATGTTTCTTATTTTCTAGGTAAAGAACATGCACTTGTCATATCCAATCATAGAAGTGATATTGATTGGCTTGTTGGATGGGTTCTGGCTCAGGTACACTGTTTATTTATCATAGTTCAGTCACAAGCATGATGCACAAATATATATATATATATATGTATATATATATCAGAAACGTGTTTATATTCAAACATATAATAAATTATCAAAAAGTACTTTTTTATCTGTTAGTTTGTTTTCATGATATGCTTACATTATATTTGTAGAGGCACACAAAAGTTATATAGAGGTTTATTCACATGTGCTTGTAAAAGTTGTTCACAATATAGACTAGTGCTGTGCTATATTTTTTTATGCTGCTGATTTAGAACTAAATGTACTTATGCAGCGGTCAGGTTGCCTTGGAAGCACCTTAGCTGTAATGAAGAAATCATCAAAATTCCTTCCGGTATGTTCCACCCTAAGATGTCCTGTCAGCATGTGGAGATGAAGCTTTTAAGTCAGAAATTGTTAAGTTCACACACACACACACATATATGCATTGTTTGTGTCTACATGGAGAAGGGATATTTTCTATATCAGGCTGGTTCTTGCTTGAACGTGTGGCCTAGATTCATAGTGTGATAACATAAGCATCTTAGGTTGCCACATTGTCTTGACAAGAAGACATTGCATGCATAGACGCTCCTTCCATAGAGGAATGCAAACAAATGGGATCCCTTGTGGGGCCTACTGTTAATTGTAGTTCAATATCTGAGCCATCTATTTTCTTAAGACTCCATTCAAGAGTCATCCTTGTGAAAAAATAGCGTAATAAAAAATCATTAAAACGTCGAATTGTGATAAAATAAATAGACTAAAACAGTGTTTCTTGTAAACCCTAAATGATCGTAATGATAATCAGATGGTTAGGTGGTTTTCAATTGGGCCAATTTTTACAAGGATGGTTCTTGAATGGAGAGAAAACAAATGGTTCAGATCATTAAACTACAATGCAGAGTTGGCCCCACAAGGGGTCCTTTTGTCTTTTTTGTTTTTTTGTAATCTTTTCTTAAATGAGAGTAGTTTATAACCTTAACAACTTAGATAAGATTTTAAAATTTGAAGGTTGTGAGTCTGTTATGATCCTGAGGTATTAATAGTTAGAAGTTTAGATGTCATTAATACTTAATTTCAGACTATGTTGCAATTTTATTACAAATTTATAAATAAACCCAATCCTAGACATGTATTTATAAAAAAACCCAAGCACTACTTAAACATAAAAACACACCCAAAATCAACTCCAAAGTCAACTTTTTGGGTGTGTTTATAAATGAGTTTTGAGTGTGTGTAATGATGAGTTTTGGGTGTGTTTATAAAGTGTTTTGGGTGGTGGATTTTTTTATAATTTCAACCTCCATTTTGGGTGTTTTAGTGAAACTCCCTTTTATTATAGACTTTATTAAAAATTTAATTTGATACATATTCATGAAATAGTTGCGGGTTTGGGGTTTTGCTGCAAATTTTGTATTGTGGCCCCACTTTTGTCATCCAGTCTACATTTCATTTAACATAAGCATTCTCATTTGCCTTATTTTTGGGCGTTCCTTATTTCTTGTCGGTAAATGGCATGCCTTCTACATGCAGGTCATAGGGTGGTCAATGTGGTTTTCTGAGTATCTTTTCTTGGAAAGAAGCTGGGCCAAAGATGAAGGCACATTAAAGGTATTGGTGTATGGTTGTTTATCTACATATTTTATATACATATGATATACACAGGCACATGTAAGTTGTTCTTTACACTAGAGAGTTTTGCTTTCTCATGAAACTCTTAAGGAGTCTCACCTTTATACTCTTGTTCAATTTGATAAGCAATCTGGACATAGATATCGTAAATATCTTCATTTCATTGAAGTCAGGTTTTGTAACCAAGCTAAAGTATCAGACGGTATATCTTCAAAATAGACTTCCTAGCACCAATTCTGAGAATTGTATGTGAACTCATTGCTTGTAATTAGTTGATAAGAAGTAGTGTGTTGTAGATGAACTTCATAGTCATTTTGTTATCTCCTAAATTTTAATGACTGCATAATTAGTTTGATAGTTCTTTTTTCCTCCAAACTCTCTACATAAAAGAGGATTCACTCATCTGCCAAGAGAGGCCACCTAAAAAGCTAAGCCATGTGGCTAATTGAGAAATGCTTCAGGGTTTTTGTCCGCATAAAATTCACTGACTTCCAATTTCTAACTTCCAAATTCTCACACTTCTCTTCCACAAAGAGTCTAGGTTCTTCTTGCTTAGTCGTATGTAACAAATGATTTTTCCATTTTTCCTACCACTATAACTATTTTTCAATGAACTGATTTCTTTTTCAATCAACTCACTGAGTGCCAGACAAATCCTTAAATCTAGATGAAAGTTCTGCATTTATAACCGTTTTACTTGAAGAAATGGGAAACTTTGGAGAACATAGAGAATGTTTTGGCTCGGCTACCATGTTGATGTAGGACAAAAGAAGGTGAGTTGTTGCCTATGATTATTGTGGTCATAGGTGGTAGAAAACTGGCAATTAGAAGAGGTTTGGATAAAAGAAAGATTCATAGTTTCTGTAACCGTAAAGTTCGATGGGAAATAATAGGAAGGATAAATGAGTATGGTTGTTAGAAAGTAAAGGACTAATGAAAAAAGAAAAGAAAAAATAGAATAGAAAGTAAAAGAGATACCAAATCACCAGATCTTTCAACAATACTTAATTTTGGTTCTTCCCAAATGTGATTGCTTTATAAGAGACACCCTTTTGATGATAGGAGGAAGAAACTTATACGACGTTGAGTCTTTCCATGACCCAAATATATTGACTGAGACTCTACTTAACATTTATCCATAAGTTGACTCTTTGACTTAATTTTTTATTATTGTTTTTTATTTGCTGAATTTTCACTACTATCACATTTCCTTGAAACCAAACAGGAGCCATTGTTAGATTTGGGTAAAAGGGGATTAGGATTAGCCTTGCACTTTGAATGGGGACATTTCTTTTCTAACCTGGCCGTGCATATGCAATACGTTAAAATGTCTACTTTTGGAGTAACCTTGCTGATCTCATTTGCTTCTTGTGGTAATAAATCTGCAGTCAGGTGTTCAACGGCTGAAGGACTTCCCTCAGCCCTTTTGGTTGGCTCTGTTTGTAGAAGGCACTCGTTTTACACAGGCAAAGCTTTTAGCAGCTCAAGAATATGCAGCCGCAACAGGGCTTCCTGTCCCTAGAAATGTTTTGATTCCCCGTACTAAGGTAAAATTCTCATTGCATTTTCTCATACTACTTTAAGAAAACAATAATAATAATTTTCTTGGAATGCCTTCTCCATCTCCTGGCTGGTTACAGAATTCCCATCAGCATAAGAAAGTATAATGTTCTGGAATCCTCCTTTACAACAGGCCATTATTCCCTATTACACGTGGTTTTGGCTTATCTGGTAAAACTCTTGTTTCTTTCAGGGTTTTGTCACTGCAGTCAGTCAGATGCGCTCATTTGCTCCAGCCATTTATGATGTAACAGTGGCTATTCCTAAAAGTTCACCTGCACCGACAATGCTAAGACTCTTTGAGGGGCGACCTTCTGTGGTGAGCCTGCCTTACTTGAGATTTTAAAAAAGGCTGTGTAAGTTGTTTAATTGTAGAACTGACACAGAATGTTAAATGCCCATTTTTGTTTAAGTGAGTACACACGTGCGGCTTTTTTAAGCAAGGCATTCTAAGAAACATCTGTCCAGATAATTGTGGTGTGATGTGCAATGCGAGTAGTGAAACTGTGATCATTTTTGCATTATCAGTTCTCTTATACCTTGTGGTTTTGAATCACTAGTTGGCATATTTCTTCATTGAGCATGTTCTTCAAATGTTCTGCGAGGAAAAAGGGCGAAGGGCAATGATTTTGTTTTATGTTTTTTTGAACATTGTGGGTCCTTTGGTATCTGTGAGGAGTTTTCAATGGCACGTGCTTCTCACTTGGGTAGTAACAAGTGCTTCGTGTCATCTCTAGATGTCAACTACATAATTTGAAGCTTTTCTACTTACTGTGATAATGCTAGATTTGCATTGTACATTCATTTGACTTTCAGAGGGTCTTGAAATTGTGCTGAATGCTTTTTATGATTACAAAATTTGAAATTGTTTATGTTAGTGATTACTGATTGAATCCTATGGATTGGCAGCAGCCTTGTGCACTGAGCTGCCCTTTTTATATCTGGGTTTTTGGCTTACACAAACTTGCCTGCCCTGGTTGTTACACTGTTGCAGGTGCATGTGCACATCAAGCGGCATGTCATGAGGGATTTGCCTGAAACTGATGAGGCTGTTGCACAATGGTGTAAAGATATATTTGTAGCCAAGGTGACTACTATATAATGTGTTGCATGGTTGTGTTCCTGGCATTTCTGGTATCGTATATGAAATACATGCACTTGGAAAATGAAGGGAAAAGATTAAGATTTATTTTGCACATATATTCTTGAATCAAATTGAACTGACTAATCGGGTTTTGCTTCCAATAATTCATGTATCAATGTCCTAATTTTGATGGTCTTCTTGTTTGCTTTTCATATACTAGGATGCATTGTTGGACAAACACACAGTAGAGCAAACTTTCGGCGATCAACAATTGAAAGTTACTGGTCGGCCGCTGAAGTCTCTTTTGGTGGGATACGTGCTCTTAAAAATTAGCCATCTTGCCACTCAATTTTTTTATTTATTACCGTGTTACCTTTTCTCTATATTCAGGTAACAGGGGGTGTCTTGTAAGTACTGCTAATTAACTCATGCGTAGTGCAGGTTGTTACAGCTTGGGCCTGTTTACTTATTTTGGGGGCTCTAAAGTTCCTCTACTGGTCTTCGCTTCTATCCTCGTGGAAGGGTATTGCATTTTCAGCATTGGGTTTGGGCGTTGTTACTGTCCTTATGCAGATCTTGATTCGATTTTCGCAGTCAGAGCGTTCAACACCTGCCTCAGTGGCTCCTGCAAATAACAATAACAAAGGGGAGTCTTCAGGCAAACCAGAAAAACAGCAATAGAGTACAGCTTCATTCCCAAGCCTTTTGTAGCTGGGCAACTTGTGATTCATGTTGCTTGCGTGTTCGTCACCCCTCCCTTACCATAGTGTGGTCGAGCTTTAAAGTTCTTTCTCTGTGGTGCCCCTTTGATTCTGTAAAACGCATATTTTGTGTGCATATCAATTCATTAACTGCTGGTTGATTAGGGTAATTTCTGTATAGACTCTTAAAAATGGCTGTAGCAGCACTGCTAGGTCTAGGATGCCCCTCAGAAATTACACTTCCTTTGACCTTGTTTGGTAGTGAACATGGTGAGGCTTGGGACATGACCCTTTCGCTTTTATCATTTCTGTTCGGTGTAATTTATGCGTACGGGAGCATTTTGGTTAAGCATGACATTTTCCAGAACATAATTGTCTCTAAAATGTCCACCCTCAGTAGGCTTAGCAAAATTTTTGTTTTAATTTTTTTAAAAAAATAAAATTTCTAGAAGGCTTCTTAGCCCTTAAACATGCTATAGTTTGTATACAACTAAAATCTGAAACAGGACACCGCAGGCTCAACTAAATTAAGGGAAATTTAAACAAGACGCATTCATTTCAAACTTTTCACTTTTCTTGATTAATTTAATTTAAAAAATAAATCAAAACAATAGAAACTGAAAAGGCAGTGCTGTCGCTGGGAAACTTTGCCAGCAACCTTCTCTGCTTGGTTTGCACCCCTTGGCAGCCTTGGTTGATAGCTGCTGTGAACTGGTGAGAAAAATTGGTCATTGTACCACGTATGTGTATAGAGAGAAGAATGGAGTCGCTGACTGTCTTGCCAACTGCAGCTATAACCTGGATCTGGGCTTATTCATTCTTGACACGGCTCCTAGTTGGGTCAGTTCTTGTTTAGGTGGTGATGTTTGTGTATTCCTAAAGCTAGATTGGTCTGTTTAGACAGGGTGAATAGTTTCTTTTGTTCTGGGGTGTTTACCCCCCCTTAAACGACAACATCCCACCCCCCACACTTTACCCAAAAAAAGGCGGAGCAAACGTTCTTATTCCAAAAAAAGAGAAAAAGAAACACAGAAGTCACTTCAATTGGGTGTTCGATAGTAGTAAAGTTCGTGAATTTATACGTGCTCCAGAAGTTTTTCTTTTTTCTTTTCTTTTTTTGTTCAATCAGTTTTGTTTTTTTGTTAAGTGATCAAAGTATTTGATTTAGTTAAGTTCAATTCGAATTAAAGCTTCCAATTAATCACAGGATTAAAGCCTCTTAGTAGATGGATCCAGGATTTGAACCTGAAAATAACGTGGGCTAAATTTTCCTTACGTACAAACCTATTGAAAACTCGACAGTATCACTAAATTTTATTAAAGAAAAAAATAATATAAAAAAAAAACCCACTGGGGACACATTGAGCATTACCCCTCAAAATGCTAGTACATGTAGATAAAAACATACTTAAATAGTTAAATATATAATCAAAATCCAAAAAATGTCGTCAATTGTAAAAAAAATAACTAGGCCTTTATCACATCTTCTACCGACATGTCAACAAATAATCAATTTATCAAAATCCCTAATTGATAATTCATACATGCAAGAACACCAAAGTCAATTTGAAATCCTATTTTCCCATAGAGGGAGAGGGAGAGGGAGAGAGAGAGAGAGAGAGAGAGAGATTTTATTTGGGTTGCTTAGGCTAGGGTATTAATTTAGTCGGAAAAAAAAACAAGTTCCTTGAGCTATAGTCTAAGTTAGCTTGTTCATAGGACCATTCTTGGTTATGAACATAGTCTAAAATATCGACAATATTTACGAAATATAGAGGATATTATCATTTTTTCAGGTCACGAATATTTCAGAATATGTACACATATCGTATAAATATCGATGTCGATAATTTCCCTTACATTTCAGTAATATTTTGTCAAAATATCGCTATAACATTGAAAATATCAAAACTATCGATGTAATGGAAAAAAGAAAAAAAAAACACAAAGCATACATGCAAAGGGGATTCGAACCCCTGCCATTTCACTCTTACAATGCCTTAACCACTACGTTGCTTATGTTTTTGTGATAATACGCAAAGGGGAACTTTATGTAGCACTAAGTCAATCACGTATCTTACCATGCAATGTATAAATTGTAAAATAATATAGTAAATCATTATATATAAATGATTATAGTGTGTTTAATATTCTTTCATTAATTATTACATATTTTCTGCACTCACAATGTTTGTCAGCTCGCTATATAATTAGCTTAAATTAGTTAAACTCATCATGCAATGCATTTCCTTCCTCTTTTTTTTTTTTTTGATGAACTAATAGATAATTGACTAAACATCCTACAAAGTTTCAATAAAAATTTCCAAGTTTTTCTTTCGATTTCGGTGCTTTTTATTTAATTTTTATTGATATCGATAATATTCCGATATTTCCATCGAAAGTTCCGTATTTTTGGAATACAAATATTTTCGATACCATCGATATTTTAGACCTTGGTTATGAAGGAGGAGTGGCGTACAAGAGTTTTTTTATTTATTTATTTATTATTATTATTTTTTTTATTTTTTTGTCAAAGTGTTCAATAGGGTCGAATGAATCAATTATTTTTTGAGTAATGATCGTCATGATGTTTTAAATTATTTGGGTTGTTGTTCACTTCATTGGTAATTAATAGAAAAATTGAAAGTTTGTTGGGTTAATTAATAGAATAATTAAGGATAAATTATGAAAAATCTTATTAAAGCATTATTTCTCTTTCATAATAATGTCATCATATAAATAAAAAATAAAGAGTTAATTATAGTTAAACTCATGAACATGTGTCATTGTTTTTGAAGGATGGTAAAGGTACACATTGGGTTAAAATAGTGAGAAAAATGCTCCTATAGTCTTAATTAATAGGCTTTTTATCACAAAACGTCTCTGACGTTTGCGAAACTATCTGATTGCATTCTTAAAGTTTTTTTTGTATCACTTATGGTCCCTAACGTTAATATATGTGCTCTTAAATAGTCTTTCTATAAAAAAAAAAAATGTTAAATCCAGGGATATAATCGTCAAATCAATCCAAAATTATAAAATTTATATATATTTTATTTCCTTCCCTTCTCTCTTTATTTCTTCTTCTTTTTTCTCTCCACCGGATTCCTTCTCTCTTCTCTCTCTCTATTTATCTCTTTTTTACGTATAAAACTAAAATAAAATAATTTCACCGCAATTCACAGTCGCTTCCCGTTTCCAGTCCTCCCCTCCCCTCTCTTCTTCTTCTTCTTCTTCTTCTTCCTCAAACTCTTGTTCAGTTTCGTTTTCTTCATTTGATTGGTTCTTGCTCTTCTTTTTCATTTTCTCCAGTTCTTCTTGTGTATCCAGTTACCCAGCCCTCCCCCTTCTTTAGCTCTTCTTCTTCCTTTTCAGTTCGTCTTCTTTGGAAGTTGATGCTTGAGGTGTTAAATATCAGCATTTGGTCATTTTGAATAGGTAAGCGCATTGTACCTTATGTCCTTTTGATGCTGTATCAATTTCTTGCTTTGAGTGCATTTTTCTAACATTTGCTTTGAGTGTATAAATTTGAGAAAATGTTATAAATACAGATGAGATAATGCTGAAATTTTGACAGATGTTTTCACTGAATGAACAAAAATTTTGGCCAAAGCTTTTGCCCGAAACATTGTGATCCTGGCGGGCCCTGGTTCGATCTCTCGTGTTTAAACCATAATCAACCGAGCATATCCAGCCTTGAAACAACTAGCACCAAGACAAATACGCCTCTTCCCCTGCTGAAGGAAGACACTCTTCCAAGGTGCTAGACACCTGCCGAAGCTCTCGACTGCCGAAGCTCTCAAACTGCAGAACTTTATTTCCAAGACACGTGCCATCACCACAGCGACTTGCACAAAGTCCCACATCGAAATTCTATGCAAACCTCCTACTTTCACATCTTTATAAATATGGAATAGTATCCACGTGAAAGGGGGACTTCTCTTCACTTAGAAGAGGATCCGGGTCTTAGAGCTAGACCCTTGGGTCTTGAACTCTCTCTCTTCTAGATCCCTGGCCTGGGCATCTCACTTGTAATCTTTATATTTGGGTCTAACCCCATGTACAAATGTAATCATACATTATCATAATGAGAACATTATTCTCCGTGGTCATAGCCCATTCATTAAGGGTGAACCACGTACATCTTGTCTTCTTTACATTTATCCCTTGCCCAAACCTTCACCACATGTGTCAAGGTCCTCACCTTCACCCATCATCCATCATTCTACATCTATTTAAGTTGACCTCCCAAAAAAAGCATCAACAGTTTGGCGCCGTCTGTAGGAAACGACACAAAAGGCTTCTGTCGTTCTCCCATTCTTCAGTGCCCTTCGGTACCTCATCATCATTTGGTGCGTGCGCTGCCTTCGGCACCTCTCCGCCATCCGACGCGAGCGATGCCTTCGACACCCCGTCCCCATTCAGCTTGAGCAATGCCTCTCGGCACTTCATCATCATTTGGTGCTTGCGCTGTCGTTGGCACCCAGTCATCAACTGGTGCTAGCGATGCCTTCGGCACCCCGTCATCATCATTCGACGCGAGTGATGCCTTTGTCACCTCGTCATCATTCGGCGCGAGCGATGCCTTCGGCACCTCGTCATCATTTGGCGCGAGCGATGACTTCGACACCCCGCCATCAACCGGTGCGAGCGATGCCTTCAGCACCCCGTCATCATCATTTGACGCGAGCGATGCCTTCGGCACCCTGTCATCATTGAGCACCGGAGGGCCTTCGGGACCTCATCATCATATGGCGCATGCGATGTCTTTGGCAAACCTTTTTGATATGAGCGATGCCCACGCACATCCTCACCACAAGATAAGATTTATCTTCTTACATATAAATATTGTATACAAGCATGTAATATTTGCACAATCCTAGTCAGCAATATGGTTCATGAATATTGCATATGAATAATAGCTGCCTAGGTACTTAATTCAACTAGAGTAACTTTGCATGGCTTGTATGGTTAGGGACAAACCATTATTTCAATCCGAAGGAAGGCCCATGAAATTCACTACCAAAAGCACCCCATGCCACACAGAAATCAAGACTTCTAATGGCGTGGACACTGGAGCTAGCCTCATTTCCCTCCAGACCCTGCTAAACGTCAAAACAAGCTCAAATCAGTCACATCAAAACTCGGACTTGCCTTGCCGTGCGGAATCAAATAGGGGCGTCTTCAAACCTATTTACCTCCACAGAGGCCCAGCTCCAAACTCACCTGAGCTAAAGCACCAAGGGGCACGCAAGGATGAAGCCTTACCTACTTTACCAAAAACCAACAACAAAAGGCCCAGCTCGTGGGTACAAAACTCAACAAAACCACGGCTTGAAGTCCTC